TAGCGTCCACTCAGCTCTAACATTCTCCCTCGATGCGGCCAAACAGAAGCTGCTTGGGCAAGCGGTGGCTCGGCATGCGGGCTACACGACCCAGCCAACGCAGCCTTGCCTGCCGGAGGAGCTCACCGATGGGACTTTGTCCAAATCTTTCAAGGATTTGTGAGCTCCTCACACAATCCAGCCTGCAGGTTAAACCCAGGATGGATGGTAGGTGCACACAAATACAAAGATCTCCCGTATAACCTTAACAGACCATAGGGGCAAGTGCTGTTAGCGAGCAGCTATGAAAGCCGGAACGGCACACGAGGGGGTGGGTGGCCAGCACCACGCCCGGCCGACTTTCTATCCCTAGTGGCGATGTTTATACATCGCTCCAGGTAATCATTTGAGACTGAGTCGACCTAGGGGAGGCCTAGTACCGGTTCAGATAATCGTCACTGGTGTTTTCCGTGAGTGGGAATCGCTGGGTTCATAGCGCAGCGTGCTAACCGCTACACTACCGCGCACACACCGACACACACGCGCACGCACCGACACACGCACAGACACACACACACACGCACACACAGACACACACACACAGACACACACACACGCACACACAGACACACACGAACATACGCACACACAGACACACACACAGACACACACACACAGACACACACACGCACACACCTACTCGCTCCCGAGCAGCGTGCTGTGCCGACACAGAGCGGCCCATTCGTCTCTCACCGTGTCCGCGTTTGTCTTTTTTTCTCTACTCCCACATTCGGACGAGAGAACAACAGGGGGTTGAGTGGAGGCAGGATCAGGCAGGGGGGGCGTGCTGGTGCTGGTGGATGCTGGAGGAGGGAGGGAGGGGAGGGAGGCGGGGGCGCTGTCGTGTTTGGGCGCCGTGACTGATGGCCGAGTGCGTCAGGGCCACGGCGTTTAATTGGACCCAATGTCGGCAGATGCGTTGCCAGGCTGCCGCAGGGAGCGCACCTCGCAAACCATTTTTTTTGATGCGAGCGAGATTTAGCCCCCATTCGTCCTCCATCCTCCTCCTCCCTCCCCCCCACACACCCCCGCCTCCTCCTCCCTCCCCTTCTCCCCCCCCCCACACACCCACCTCCTCCTCCCTCCCCTTCTCCCCCCCACACCCCCCACCTCCTCCTTCTAAAAGGTACTCCACAAAGGGCAGTGCTCGACGTGAAGGCGCCGGTCCGCCAGGCTAACGAGATGTCCCCACCACCCCCACCACCACCACTCCCACCACCACCCCCAACACCACCACCCCCACCACCATCACCACCACCCCCAACACCACCACCCCCACCACCACCACCCCCACCACCCCCACCACCACCACCACCACCCCCACCACCACCACCCCCACCACCACCACCCCCACCACAACCCCCACCACCCCCACCACCACCACCACCACCCCCACGACCCCCACCACCCCCACCCCCACCACCCCCACCACCACCACCCCCACCACCACCACCCCCACCACCACCACCACCAACCCCTCTTCGACTTTGTCATAGTCGGGGTGGTGTGGCCGTTCGGCGGGCTATGGAGGAGGCGACGAGACGAGCGCGTGGGAGGGAACGCGGCTTAAGTAACGCGCCCTTTCGCCATCCAACACCACCACCACCACCAAAGACAAAGACCCCCCGTATAGCTTTAACAGACTTTGGGGGCAAGTGCCGTTAGCGAGGACCGATTTAAGGCCGGCAGGGCACACCAGGGTGTGGGTGGCCAGCACACCACACATGCGGCGAGTGGCGATGTTTAAAACACCGCACCAGGTAAAGCATTTGAGGCTGAGCAACGGCTCAGATCATCGTCACTGCTGCTGCTGTTGTTGGTGGCCGTGAGCGGACATCGAACCCGGGCGGCCAGTTTCGTAGCGCAGCGTAGCGCTATCGCTCCCCCCGCTCCCTCCAAATCAAATCGTTCCACTGGGTCCGTGTCCCTCCTTCGCCAAGATGAGACATTGCGAGTTAAGCGTTTTCACTCCGCAGGGGGAGGGGGGGGAGTCTGGGGGGCGGTGGAGACCAAATCTCGCGTTGTTTATTTCCCTGTCTCCGCTTCGCAACGGAGACGCGGCGCGCGCCACCGACGACGTTCCTCGTCGCAGCCAACTGCGGAGTTCTCCGCTTGAATTGTGAATGAACGTTGTGCTCTCTGCATCGTCTCATTAACAAATTATCTTGAAAAAAATAATTCTGGTTTCTGCTGTCAAACGTTGCACCTTTTATCCGGTTAATTCCTGCGAATGTGTGTGTTTTTGCACGTGTATGAACCTGGGTTTATTTTCTCTCCATGTCTGTGTTTAGATTTCACCCAACTGGTGATGCCACGAGACGTCCCAGCCGTAGCGCGGTCGCCGCTCGTTGTAGAAGTCCACGGTTGGACTCCTGCAGCCGCGCTGGTTAATGCTGCGGGTCTAATTGGCCGTAATACATAGTCTACGTGCCCTCTGATTAGAGACGCCATTGGCATCGTGTGCCAGGTTCTAATTTGCAAAATTCGAAATATTAGAAAGTAAATTAAGTAATTTACAAATTTAAAAAAAAAAACGATTTAGTAATTAACTTTGTTATATTTCAAACTTGGGATTGCAAACCACGGCAGCAGCAAACATTGCCCACGACTGCGAGCACACATTCGGTAGGGCCCTCTAGAAAAGCAGTCGTAGGTAAACAAGTGTATCACTTGCATCATCATCAGCCATTACCTCTCCACTGCTTGATGAAGGCCTCACTCGTGTCGCTATCGATTCTCACTCTCTCGCCGTGGTGGAAGTTACCCGTTGTGTGCCGGCTGTTGTTTTGGCGTCCTTTGTCAATCCGCTGCTGGATTTCAGGCCTCTACCAATGTCGCGTCGGTCATGGGCAGTTGTTTGACCATACTTCACCGCCCCGGTTCGCGCTGGTTGCTCAGAGAATTGGTGGATGGGGGGCGTGGGGACTTTGAGGCCCAGGAGCGGTGCGGGTTTCACTCGCCAGGGTTCATGGCGCAGTGCGCCAACAACTGCGTTCAATTAAAAACAATCAATCCACGAATGTATCGATCAGTTTGCTCTCCCGACCCAGTCGGTTTGTTCCATAAACTCGATGAAGCAGCAAAAGCAAATTCTGCGCGTTTCATCTCTCCCCCGCCCCCCACACCCTTCCTCGTCCCCATGTCTCCACAATCCGTGACCGGAAGATAATTAATAATAATAATATAACAATACATCTCGCTGTGGCCCACGGTGGGGCGGGCGTGAGTGATCATTAGAATGCGCCGCACGGCTTAGGCGAATGTTGGTGCGCGCCGCGCGACCTTCTCTCTCTCTCCATCGAGCGTTGCGGATTCACAGTCAACACCGCGTGGTGCCATTGCGTTGCGATTACTATTGTCTGTGTGTGTGTGCGTCTGTGTGTGTGTGTCGGGGGAGCGGTGGTGTAGCGGTTAGCGCGCTGCGCTATGAACCCGGCGACACGGGTTCGATTCCCGCTCACGGCCAACACCAGTGACAATTATCTGAACCGGTACCGGGCCTCCCCTAGGTCGACTCAGCCTAAAATGTGTACCTGGTGTGGTGTGTAAAAATCGCCACTGGGGAGACAAAGGCGGTCGGGCGTGGTGCTGGCCACCCACCCCCTCGTGTGCCGTTCCGGCCTTCATAGGTGCTCGCTAACAGCACTTGCTCCTACAGTCTGTTAAGGCTATATGGGGGAATCTTTGAATCTTTGTGTCCGGGGAGCGGTGGTGTAGCGGTTAGCACGCTGCGCTTACGAGGCCAGCCACCTGAGTTCGATTCCCGCTCACGGCCAACCAAATCCAGTGGCGATTATCTGAACCGGTCCTGGACCTCCCCTATGTCGACTCGGCCTCAAATGACTACCTGGTGCCGTGTGTAAACATCGCCACTAGGGAAGCAAAGGTGGCCAGGCGTGATGCTGGCCACCCAACCCCTTCGTGTGCTGTGCCCACCTTCATAGGTGCTACTCGCAAACAGCACTTGCCCCAACAGTCTGTCAAGGCTACACGGGGGATCTTCGTCTTGTGTTTCTTGTTGTTTACGTGTGGATATTTGCGTCTCGTTTCCCATCTTTCATCTCGTCGAGGAACGCTGCAATTGCGACCCACAGATCGCCGGATCGATTCGAGCTCGCGGCGCAGCAGCTGAAACAATGGGGCAGGTTCCTTAAATCACCCCGCGCCCCCACAACCCCGACGGCCGCCTCTGTCCACCCGAGCGGTATAGATGATGGCACACCATCTCAGCTGTATCCATGTTGAACTTCTTTCGCACCGCACGTAGGCAGCTGTGTTCATCGGAGGTGCGGGGGGGGGGGACAACAAACGAAACGCAAAGGGCAGTTCGAGAGAAACGAGTCCTCGATCGAGATTTAAAATAGTCGCGGAATAAATTGTGGGTATGCATGTGTGTTAAACTTCTCTTGCACCGTACGTAGCCAAGCGTGCTCATCGGACGCGCGGGTTACTTTCGCCTCTGTCGAGACAGTCTGGCCGGCGTGTAACGCGAGGTGCCAAACATTCCGTCTCGAGGATGGGGGGGGGGGCAGTCTGAAGCTCTCCCCTTCCAGGGCCAGTGGAGGCCATCCCGCCAGCAGCAGCCTGAGCAGTTGCAGGGCCGCGCCTTTAACTTTCACCGACCCGCTTACCATTAACATTCGTCTGCTCCGAGCTCGACGCTGGCGTTGACGCTTGGAGAAATCGTCGCGATTCACGGTGGCAATTCGTTTCAACCGTTCAATTGCCATCGTTTCGACAGAGAGCGGTGAGTGTAGCGGCCTTCGGTGGCTGCAAGGGTCGCGTGAATCCATTACGCACAACATCTACGAAACCGGTAGGTGGGAGCCGGGGGGGGGTGGGGGTGTGGTAATTGCGCTCAAAGTCAAATAGGTTCGAGGCGTATGGACCATTACCACCGCGCGCGGGGATCGTTAACATTAACCGAGGCTACTTATAGCAGCAGACGCGTGGCACAAGGGTCATCACAGTGGTCTTTTTAATATCCAAACAGTGGGGAGAAGAAATGAGAACCATCGTTTGAATTTGTGTTTCTCTCCGGAGATTGGGGGGAGGGGGGGATGAGATGGGAGGTTGGCGGGGTCGGGCGAGGTAGGGGAGCGGGCTTTGTGGTTCGTGGCGGCTGGGTAGGAGGAGTGTGGAACAGGGGGGTGGGTGATGGAAGGGGGTTTGAGAGCGCGGCGGTGTGGAGGATGTGGACGGTAGGGAGGATAAAACGACGAGCACGGGACATCCAAACGATCATTCTTCTACGACTATGAACATCACGAGGCAGCGGCCGTATCCGATTAAAAACGAACACGCGGACTAAACACGGACGCGCACACACCACGACCTCACGACCTCCAACACTGGGACGGCTCCACCAATACATTGCTGCAACATTTCAAGATCCTTGCATTTTGCTTGTGTTATTGTTGTTTTTTTTTCATTCTCCCTCCACCCGAACAAAAGCTGCCGCTGTATGCATGTACGATGAACTTCCTTCGCACCGTACGTAGCCAGCCGTGATAATCGGAGGTGCTGATGCGATATCACTGCCCATCGGACGTGAATGCATGTCCCCGTGTCTACAGCGCAACGGCGTGCGCTTCTGACCGCCTTCCCCGATCATTTAAAATGGAAATCGTATCTCGTTTTTTCGTGATTTTTTGTTTAACGAGTAATCTTTACATCGATGCAACATTTCATACGAGCCGCACGGCATTGTGATCTCGCAAGGAAGCCGGTTTCCATGGTTTGACATCGCCTGCGGCGTCATTTGGCAACTGGTAAGTAACCTCGACGGGGTCTCCTCTAGGTTAACTCAGCCTTAAGAATTATTGGTGAGCTGCGTCATTATCAATCGTGGGGGGGGGGGGGGGGGGCGGGGGGAGGAGTTGGCCAGAGCTCTGAGTACGGTGCTATGCTGGCCGATACAATCCTATCGTGCCGTGCCAGACGTTCAATGAGTGCTTGCTAACAGCACTCGTGCCCAGAGGGAGCTGCTGCACAGATTGTTGGGTCGAGGACGGGACCTCTGTCCGTCTTTTCGGATATATTATTATTATTCTTGTTCTGTACACATGCATACGAGTTTTACCGTTTCTCGACGCATCTCAAACGGGGGGGGGGGGGGGGGGGGGGGGAGTGTGCAGACAAATCCGATGAGAATATAAACAATTTAACCCGAATCGCCCAAAGTGAGCCAGTCAAACATTTCTAGATAAAGTGCACGTTCCAAAAAAAAATGGCTGGGGTCGTGGCATTGCAAGCGAGCTCGACGCTCACTGCAGCAGCAGCAGCTCATGAATCCGTAATGTCCCCCCGGAGGGGAACAGCTGTGACGGTCGCATGCCGGATTGTCCATCGGATGGCAACATTCGCACTCAGCGCGGGTATCACGCGCGCCTGTGCACGCGCGCGCGAGCGGAACACTGCCGCCACCGCCTCGCGTGTGCCCGCACTGCGGAGCAGGGGTGCTCAAAGCAATGCAGAGCTAGGAGGAGGAGGAGGGGAGGGGAGGAGATCGGAGTTTCCAGCCACGGAACGACGTCCGTCCTTTGCCCGTTCTGCTAATTGCATTCCAGTTATGTGCCATTGGCACATTTGGTATTCGCGACATGCTCGTAGCGCACGGCTATCGCGAAGACGCTACCTTTCACAGGCGGGTATAGTATGCCAGAAGGGGGCGGCGTTGCTTTGTAGTTTATTATTATTATTATTATCAAATTTGGTATGTTATGGCTAATCTGTCAAATGTGGACCATGATACCACCAGCAGACACGGCCTACTAGTTTTGATTTTTTTTACAACGATGTCACGGATTTTTGTAACGTCCGCTGTAACGTAGATGGCGCATCTTGTTTTTTTACATATTTAAAATTCGCACAGTATTAACCAGGGCAGCCGCCGGGCACCAACCCATAACTTCTGCAACGAACGGTGAACGCGCTGCCGCTCGGCATCCGTCACCACTCTCGCCAACGGCATCACGACGTCACGAGCGAAAACATTTTACTTTCACCATCGGAAACTATCGCAGACAGCAGCGAAACATCACCACCACCACAACCACCACCACGACCACCAGCCCGTGTGAAATAACAGCCCGGGGAAGATGTCATCGCAGAGCTACTTCTGAGGCCCCTTACACTCGATTGCCTCTCATGCACCACTAGGTGGAGCTCGCAACTTCCCGCGTGACCTGCAGTTGAGGCCTTCGTCACGAGGCAAACCGAAGCACGTTTTTTTAAATCCTTTATATTAAGTTCGCTTGCTTGCTTGCTTGCGTGCTTGCTTGCTTACGACCGTGCAAATTTTTCGGTCGTTTTTTAACCCACTTCCCGTGATCCAATCGAGCTGACATTTTGCACACAGACTCGTTGTGCGTGACAATTAATTTTCGTGATTTTTTTTCTTCCAAAATTTTACACTGTTTAGGGAAAACAAATTAAATATTTAATTACCAATTGCTTAATGCTGGCAGACAATCATCTGACCCATAGGTGGCAGCCATCTCAAGCCAGAGGACGAGAGGACTCTAGCAGCCACGCATATAAAGGATTTATAGTGAAAAACTTTGTTTTTACGGGTTTACTTATTCATGTTTTCATGTTATGACGAACAATTGAAAGAAGCCAATCTAAGTCATCGGTGATCGAGCCGAGAATATTGACTCTCTCACCACCACTGAGACCCACCCCTCTACCCCCCGATGTGCTTCCGTTGTGTTCGGCAGCACACAGGGCACGCAAACAGCAGCAGAAGCAGCAGCGGGAACCCAAAACCCCGGGTTTGATCGCGGTCGCTGCCCAGATTTGAACCGAGCGTCTCGGGCGTGACCATCGGGAATTTCGTGAAGCAGCCACCTTGACACTTTCACTCCCCGAATGCTCTTGAAAGGCCCCCGAGGTCTCGTGAGTTCTTTTCAGAGAAGTTGATTTGATGTCTGCGTTGACAAAGTTGAAAAAAAAAAGCACCCAACGGTGTGCTTGTCACCCGAAACATTTTGATCACCCCTTCGTGTGTACGTGTGTGTATGTACGTCTGTATACGTGTGTGCGTGTGTGGAGCGGTGGCGTAGCGGTTAGCGCGCTGCGCTATGAACCCGGCGACCCGAGATCGATTCCCGTTCACCGCAAACACCAGTGACCTCAAATGAGTACCTGGTGCGGTGTGTAAACATCGCCACTGGGGAGACAAAGGCGACCGTGCGTGGTGCTGGCCACCCACCCCCTCGTGTGCCGTGCCAGCCTTCATAGGTGCTCACTAACAGCACTTGCCCCAACAGTCAATTAAGGTGACACGGGGGATCTTTGTCTTTGTGTACGTGTGTGTACACACAGTCGGTATGTATTGAGATCCAGGTTGGTATGTATTGAGATCCAGGTTGGTATGTATTGAGATCCAGGTATAAAGCAATGATGAGCAACCCTCTCCCGGGGGGGGGGGGGGATACATGCTGCGGCATGGACTCCGTGCAGTGGGAATTCCGAATGTGTGCGGAGGGGGAAATTCAGCGTCTCAATGCGGCAACACAACACACCAATACACGACGCCTTAATAACAAATGACTTACGAACAAACGACGTTCTAGCAAATGCCATACTAACAAACGCCTTGCTAACACGCTGCTATAGATGTGGGCACGGGATCGTTGTGTATTAGTATTCTAGAAGGGGTGGAGGTGGTGGGGGGGAGGGGATCCGGGCGTCATCCCAGCAAGGTTGGAAACCATGAGCTGGCGCTTTCACCTCTTTTCGTGTAGTACTCTTCTCAGACCCAAACCGCTTCCTGCTTCGCCAGCCTCAATTTATACACGGTCCTGGCCAATCAGGACCTGCTCCGAGCCCCTTGACCCAGGAAAGGCTGACTCAACAGCAAATTCCGCAATTACAGGTGCTGATCACCATTTAGAATCCGAATGTTGTCAGCACTGAATCTTTGCTTTGTGATAATAATGCCCATGTGTATGTTGAACTGGTTTCGCACCTCACGTAGCCAACCGTGCTAATCAGAGATGCGAAAATAATGCCGCTTTAAATAAGTGACAATTAAATCAACTATTATTATTGTACCTCCTCAGCTATGTAGCTCTTTTTTAGAAGTGACCTGGCCACGAATGATAGTTCACCGAAGCGGCTCGTCGTCGTGTGGACATTTACAGCAGCCAAATACTGATAACGCGCGATGTTGATCCGAAATGTGGAGGGGAAAACCGGAGGACCCGGAGAAAAATCCACGCCACCACGGGGAGACACTGCAAACTCTAAAAATATGCAGGCGTTTGGGCCGGGATCGTACCCACGACCTCCTGCATACCAGGCGATGGAGTTAACATCTCGCCACCGTGGCACCAACTCAGACGTGCAAAGCTCTCCTTCCATTGACGCTGGCGAGAGCCGTATCGATTGTACAAAGATATATATGCACGTAAACAGTACCTGTATAATTTTACACACACACACACGTGGCATTTAAAATGTTAAATAAGTGATCTAGGTGGGATAGGATTGATTTATTTCACGAGGTTCCGCACACCCCCCCTGTCACGTGACAAACGGCGCCGTCTCGCCAAAGCCACGTGCGATGCCCTCGCTCTCGTCACATCCCGGGAGGCTCAGCAGGGGTTGGTCCTGGCTCACGTTCGCTTGGGCGCCTGCCGTGCATGACAGCTGCCATAGGCTGCTGTGAGGCTGCAAAAGGCAGTGCGGCAAAAATCCAAAATCGTTGGATTTTGCTCCGCGCCTTCACTAATCCGTATTGACCACGGTGGTGAAGTATGAGCAAATAAATCGTCTACTTTACCCTTCGGCTGTCCGTCGCGAACGCGGAGAGCAGACAAGCCGCTTCCACACCTGGTGACGGACGCTTGTGTTGCGCCCGAAACGTCGTGATTTATTTTATTTTATACCCGCGTGACTTTACCGAAAGAACCAAAGAGTATGGATCCCTGTGGGCCGGTGGGATGAGATGCCCGGCCCTTGAGTGGAAGCATCGGCCAGGGGGGGGGGGCACTCGGCAAGATTCGTGTCGCTGCTGCTGCCGCTGCTGCCGCTGTTGATGCCAATATTGTCTTTTTGTTAAACCCCTTTTTTATTTTTACAACCTTTTTATTAACTCACTCTGTCTGTTGTTGTATCCTCAAATCGTGTTACTCAATTTTAACCCACTTCCCACTTGTTATACTTATGTCATACTGATGACAATACTATATTCTATAATAATAAAAAATCAAATAAATATTTTTAAACATTATAATTACACGCTTTGTATTAACTCACTTTGTTGTTGTCGTATCCTCAAATCCTGTAACTCAAATTTAACCAATTTCCCAATGTGGTATCGACTGCAAAACTTGATATACGTATGTCATACTGATGACAATACTATATTATATCATTAAAAATGAAAAAATATAATTTTAAAAAACATTCTTTTTTAATGTTATGTTTCGGCTTGGGTCTAATTGTCCACGCTCAACTAACGTTGGCTGTAAATCACCACGGCCCCTTACGTTATGGCAAGCTTCGGGGCCACTTCCTGGAGTCGTGGAGTTCTGCCATTACTCGTACGGTACATTTGATGAAAGCGTGTTTAAAAAATTTTTTTTTTTAATATTACTTCTTTTTCTTCAACTCTCTTGGGCCGAGTCGGCTGCTACAGCCCCCGTCTCCGCCACTCACGGGCCAATGGTCAACCGGCAACTCACACGGCGTGGGGGAGGCCCTCATGCCCAGCAGGGGATCGACAGGACGGGGACTGTGCGTGTTGTGGTGCAACAACTCAAAGCTTCAAGGGACGCCAGTGGCTACCTGTGAATTTGCAAAACGCCTGCAATTGCCATGCCTCTCGAAACGTTGCTCACGTGACGCGACAAAAATACGGACCTCTCACCGCGATACAGTGGGGTGGGCTCCTGATAGGCTGGTCTCGACCATAGGAATGTGGAATTTCTCATTGATTTTAGCCCCGGACTGGCTCATCGTCGCCGCCAAACGGAGATGAGTGTGGAGATGAGATCGCCGTCGTGGAGAAGTGAAAGTCCTGAATGAAACCCGGGGCCTTGGTTGTTCTTCTTGCTCTGAAACGACGCTGTACCACCCTAGATGTACGCACATGCACGCCGCCCTCCGTACATATATAAGTTACAACAACAACAAAACATCTAAGCAAACTGGGTTTCGTTTCGCCCACGTGTGAAGTTTCAGCCTTGCACTCGATACGCCGTTCCGGCGAGAAAAACGACGACACTTTTTTCTTCTTTAAAATCTACCTTCCGATTGCTGAGCCAATAATGCACGTTCCCAAGAATCGACGGAATTGGGTTGGGCAGCGAGAAATCTTCGCGATTCACGTGCTCTCTCTGAATGTTGCTGATAGACCGATGCAACAGGAAGCGGGTGACACGGGTGAAACCCAAGCCCCGGGGTAAATCTGCCGGCAAAGCGTTGACTTGGGTAAAGGCTGGAGGTAACACCTGAGAAAGACTCACACCTGCCAACGAAGCCTCGTCCCAGAAGACCGCAGAAGACTCTGAACATCGACGGGCAGTGCTTCTCTTTCGGCATGGCACTGATCGTTCAACACGTTCGAATTTTACTCGGGGCTTGATTTCTAAAACGATTCTTTTGTTTCTTTTTAAGAAGCGACCTGGCCACAAATGATAGCTCAACGAAGTGGGCGTATCATGTCGTGTGGAAATTTAGAGCAGCCGAATACTCCAAACGCGTGATGTTGATTATTCTACACGTGGAGGGATTAAACCGGAGGGACCTGGAGAAAAATGTACACGACCACGGGGAGAGAGACACGCAAACTCCAAATATACAGCAGGCGTCAGGGTCGGGGTCGAACCCACGACCTCCTGTATACCAGGCGAGGTAGTTAACATCTCGCCACCATAGCCGGAGCTGTCGGCGGCTGAGCTCATTGAAAGCACTCTCCCGTCCCCTCCCCACCCCAACTCACCAACGTGTCCCCAGCCGTCAGCCGCATAACTCGTCGCTTTTTCTCTACCAATCGTCATGTTTCAGTCGTACACGATGTGTGCGTTTTGTTGGTCGCGCTACTTGTAAAGCCGAAGGCGTGACCGCTGCGTTTCACGGATGGGTTTGTGGGAAGTGGTCCTGGCTGGGAGTAGGGGGGGGGGAGCTGTGAGTGACCTCGGAAAATATTCCTTGAAAAATTAAGCCCCGACGACGTGAGTGAGTGTAAGGGTACCAATATCTATGGCCAAAATATGACGACGACGACGATGACAAACAGGACGGAAGACACGCACGGGGTACGGCACATCATCGAAATGCTAAACAGTTCCGTTAACGAGCAACTGCATCGAACTGTACATTGAAAAAAAGCGATACGATATTGTCTTAACAAAAATAAACCGATAAGAATTTGCACAGTGAGAAGGATCCGCGTATAGCATCTCGCTTGCTCAGAAAGCAAACGAAAAATGATAATTGGTTTGTACGGGGCCTTTCAAAAATCGACAGGCTTCAATTACAACGCAAAACAGCGGCGAGTGGACAAGGGGGTTGCGCGCTGAAGATCCCACAAAAGGGCCGTTTGATGCGCGCGACACGGACGCACGCGCGAATGTTTTCTTGAGACCGTACGTTCAGTCGGGGCTCCTGCTCCCCGTGTGCTCGAAACGTTCTCTCTGCAACAAACAAAAAAAACATAAAGCAACGGAACTCCGCAGGGTCCATTCTGCCACGCTTGGCCAGACTCGGTTCGCGTTCATCGGCCAACAATGTATTCCTCCCCCACTTACCCCACCAACAAAAAGCCACGAGCGACTTCGGTAAGCTCTGAAATTACCGGGGACATTTTGCCCAATGGAAATGAATTCACCGCCCACAGAGTATGTCCAGAAAATAGACAGCAGCAGTGAACACGTTGGCGTTGGCTTCCATCTCGGGTCTTGGCGTGAGCAAACGAAAATCTTCGCTAAACCCCACAAAAGACTCGCAAAATTGCGTCGCGATAACAATTGTTGGTTTCACCCACGCACACACGCGCGCAAAGTCACGTGTCCTGTAAGATCTTCGCCACGGTTCGATTAAGCACATCGCAGCACGCCTTTCCACGAAGCCGTCCTGCCTCCAGCCTGGTCAATAAGCAGAGCGGAGTTCGGCCTTGCGTCACCTTGAAAGCCATCGAGCGTGGAGCCCACGCGTCTTCTGATCCATTGCACGATGTTCATTGAAAACGCATTCCCACAATAGGCGGCGTCGTTACACTCAGGGCAAGCGGCTGCAGCAGCAGCCTGTCATTCATCGATCAATTGAGTTACGATGCAAACCGTGAGACGCTCAATTCGGCTCCACTTTGCTCGATGCTGCGCGTCTCCAAGAAACGGATGAGAAGAAAGGCGTCTCGTGGGTACATGAGGAAGGCCGAGGGCACAGAGGTCGGCTCAGCTGATGACCTGCGGGATGGTCTCGTACTCGTTCTCCGTGTCCTTGAGGATGCAGAAGGTGCCCCGCGGCATGCTGGCGTAGGTCGGGGCGTCCACGTACGCGGGCGGCACCAGCTGCTCCAGCACCAGCGAGCGGGACGGCGACGGTTCCGCGCGGCTATCGGACGTCGACTGCGGCTGTTCTTGTTGTCCAGCACCACCGCCACCGCCACCGCCGCCGCCACCGCCACCGCCGCCACCGCCGTCGTCGTCGTGGTCGCGCAGAGCGCCGCGCTGTTGGCTCGGACTCGTCCCGGCCACCGTGGCCTCCTCGTGCCGCCGCTCCACCGACGCGAGCGACAGCGCCACCGAGGACACCGTCGGCGACGCGGGCGGTGGCTGCAGAAGAGGGAGTCGAGCGGACGCAGCGGCGGCGGCGGCGGCGGCGGCCGGAGGAGCGGGAGGAGCAGGGGGAGGCAGCGCGGCGACGAACGAGACGCTCATGCGGACGACTCCGTGCTCGTCCACCACGCGCAGGGGCCACAGCCGCTCGCCCGAGCGCGACACGAAGACGGGCACGGCCTCGCCGCCGAAGGGGCCGCCGGCGTCGGCGGCAAACACGCGGATCGGGAGCTGGGCCGCGGTGGCCGCGCCCGGAGCCAGCGCCGATTGTTCCGAGGAGAGATCGTGGCCGGAGCCGCGGGGTCCTCCCGCCGAGCCGGGGTAGAGGCCCACGTCGAGGCCGCTGTCCCAGCAGGGGTCGGTGAGCGAGTAGGGGGGCGGCGCATCGGAGGGGATGGGCAGGATGAGCGCGCTGGGTCTGATGCAGTCCTCGTACCTGCGTGAGAGATTGACGGTGCACGATTGCAGGTTGGAGGCGGCTTTGGTTCGACGCGGTTTGTACCGGGGTCGAACCCTCGAGACGCCTGGAACTTTGTTCGGGTCGCGGTGTTTCAGGGTGTTGAAAAGGGCTAGCTTACGAACTCGTTTTAGTTTTACCAGGCAAGACGCAGCGAGCTATGGAGCTCTTTTTCAGAAGCGACCTTGGCCACAAATGATAGCAGCACAAACGGAGCGGCTTATCGCATGGAAATGTACAGCAGTCAAAGACTCAAAATGCGCGACGTTGATTCTAAATGTGGAGGGAAAAACCGGAGGACCTGGAGAAAAATCCACGCGACCACAGGGAGAGAGAGAGACACGCAAACTGCAAATATACAGACATCGGAGTCGGGATCGAACCCATGGAACCTCCTGCGAACCAGGTGAGGGAGTTTACCTCTCTCTCGCTTCGTGGCGGGGGTGTCACATTGCAAGTGGGCGCAGGCGATCGATTGATTGATGGCGAGAATAATACATGAGCGATTCATTATTGATGTTTGGGTCATATCACCATCAATTATTAATCGGATTTTTAGTCGCGGGGTGTTGTTTCTTTTGATAGTAATTAGAGTCATCGGTATCAATCTTCATCATCGTAACTGCCTGTGATAATTCACCTGTTCATCACCACCGCCACCATCTACCACCAGCACCATCATTCTCATGACAAGTCAATGTCGTACTTTTTAACCACAATCATAACACGTTCACTCTTTCACTGGATAATTCCTCTCCGGAAGATTGTTTTCTCTCATGTTGATTCTTCTTACTTTTTTTCCCCCCCACCCAAAATATTTCTACAATTTACTGCACATCAAGGCCGTAGCCATGGAGTCGACATTGGGGGGGACCAAATCTTCCAGGGGGTCTGGGGGTCCCCCCCCCCAGAAAAAAAAATCTAAATTTGAAAACGAATTTCCTGCCTAAAATATTTAAAAAATTCACTAACACATAGGATGGACTTTTTTTTTCTTTGTCTAAGAGTGTATTGTATTACACTGCTCTGCTTTTTTCTTCTTTTTTACCATTTCTTGTTTCATTGTATGTAACGACAGAGATTAGGGATTAATAAAATACAACCATAACCACAATCATATAAACAGAAATCTATTTTATAGAAATATATTGGGGGGGGGGGGGCATTGTGAGCATATTTAAATATTGGGGGGGATGTGTCCCCCCCAATATTTATTATAATTACGACTTTGCTGCACATTCTCCGATTGCACTCCAGGGACCAAATGTATCCTGGACATCTGTGCAAAAAGAGCTTCATAGCTCATCCGATTCCTCCAGTCGAAATGAAGATTCTGATGATAAATGTTGGCTAACATTCCTCCATTTGGTTTTTGTGAGATGACGGCCGCTATTGTTGACGTTATATAAGTTTCACCCATTCCACCAATGCCCGTTTCGGAACTAGCGGAGACGACCCAGAGTGGGTGGGGACTAAGGTGGGCTCGTGTAAAAGGTACAGGCGCAGACCTGCAACGGCTTTCTTACGCCACTGCCGATCGACTTTCTGCAGTCGTGCTGGATGGGACGCCGTGGTGGTGGTGGTGAGGCGTGGAAATTAAGAAACCCGCAGCGTCGTTTCGACTGCCGCGCCCGGAGATCGAATCGAGCCGGGACGACCTCTGGATCGCAGGTCCCGCAGCGTCTCTCCATGGAGGAGGGGGCTGTGTAAGCCGCATGTCAAGTGGCCGTCTCTAGTGCAAGGCAGCCTTGCACCAGACACAGCCATCGCATTCAACTTGTTCAGTGACATCACGTGTCTTGGTTCGTCACTTGAGACCAGGATAACCGAGGAAGAGTGGTAGTGTAGCGGTCAGCGCGTTGCACTACGAACCCGGCGACCCGAGTTTGATTCCCGCCCACGGCCACTAACACCGGTGACGATTATTAGAACCGGTTCCGGGCCTCCCCGAGGTCGACTCAGCCTCAAATGAGGACCTGGTGCGTTTGTGTAATGATCGCCAGTATGGAGACAAGGGCGGGCCGGGCGTGGTGCTGGCCACCCACCCCCTCGTGTGCCGTGCCGGCCTTCGTAGGTGCTCGCTAACACCACTTGCCCCAAAAGTATGTCAAGGCTATACGGGGGGTCTTTGTCTTTGTAACCTGAGACGAACAAACCCAAGGGAGAGTGTTTGCTCCACCATTGTGGAACCATGATCCTCCGCAGTTTCACGTTAGCACCGTTAAGATTGTCGATGATGATGATGGTGGTGGTGCAAACAAGCTGTGCAATGGTGGAGACATTGAACGCGACATTCTCCCACGTCGAATGCTGGCTGGACCTTGACGGAGCTGTTGTTTACAATTCAGATTTAAATGGAGCCGAGAGAGGCTTTGAAGTCAGGACACAATGATCGATAGAGTAACTCCGGTTTCTCGTGCCTTGCAGCGTTCCTTATGCAAAGCACTTTGGCCGAAGGAGTGAATGGGCACCATCATCATTATTATTATTAGCCATGGTCGATCCACTGCTGGATGAAGGCCTCTTTAACATTTTCCGCGATCCTGCGCATCGAACCGATCTCATCGCTCCATCTCGTTGTCCGGACCTCGTTCAATGCAATGTATCCTGCGACGTACACATTGCATATGTAAAGTCAAACCAATGTTCTCAAATGTAATAATAACATAATTTATGGCTCTTTCTCAATCCACGACCGAACGCCTCTCCATCCCGAGGCTTGTTTGACCACACGTCATCGCTGAAAATATGAGATTAAAGTTCGCAACGATAATGGTGGGTAGCTTGTGTGCGTCATCCAGCCGGTGAATAATGTGAAATCGTGACACTGAATAACCATAAAACATAGGCTTGCGAATAAACAAATCTACTTTGGGCTTTTAGACCGAACAATTGATCGCTAACTTCGGTTAGAACAACCCCGACGGCCTTCATTAAAATTTAAACACGAACCTTCCTCCCCAACTCCGCATTAAAGCATTAAAATAAATAAATCAAACACCGCGACACACGACCAAAGGAACCAAAAAAACATCGAATCAATTTTAGTATTTTTTTTGTTCCCAAAAAAAGCAGCTATTTAAAATTAAAATCAAAAGATAGAAGATGGCAAAAACGCTCATCCGCCAAATTCTAACTGGCAACGCTCGTCAGGCCCGCGTCTTCTCTGACCCCGAGTGCCAACGGAAGGGCCCCATCGAGTAGGCCACGTCGCTTGGAGAGCCACGCGCCGACGACCTTTATTGAAGCCGCCCGTTTAGAGCAGTTGGAGGCGTATTCTTACGTGTTTTCGGTAAAGTCACGTAGGTAAAAATACAGCTGTCGTGCTGTGACGATTCCACCTGAAGACGGAATGCTTGTGTTGCCTCCGAAACGTCGTGATTTTTATTTTATTTTACTTTTATTATCTTATTGGTTCTTTCGGTAAAGTCACGTAGAATGGAAATAATAAAATAATGTTATATTATATTTATTATGTTTTATTTTTATTATTTTATTATTTCCATGCTACGTCACGTAGAATGGAAATAATAAAATAATAATAAAACATAATAAAATAATATGATATTATATTTATTATGTTATATTTTAATTATTTTATTATTTCCATTCTACGTGACTTTACCGAAAGAACCAAAAAGATGAATCCCTGCAGTCACGAAAGCTTTAAATCTAAATTTAACTTTTATTAATTTTTATTTTTTTACCTACGTGACTTTACCGAAAAAACCTAAGAATACAGTGGGAGGCGGTTTGCCGTGGCGCCGAGCGGCCTGACGTCTTGGACGGAGGCCTAGGTAATGACCCCGGAACCGGCGAACTGCAGCAGAGTATCGTGGACAATTCTCTTCTGATTATCCCACGTGTTGATGCGGCTTAGCGGAATGAGACGCAGCTTTTGTTTTTTTTTCTGTTGGCCGCCGAGCGTTTCGATGGACTCGTAATGTCACCGCGCTCCACGTGGGAAGACGCGTCTGCCTGTCTGTCTGTCGGGCTGCGTGCGTGTGCTCTCGGGAGCGGCCAAAAACGCCGGTGACGATTATCTCAACCGGTACCTGTGCCGATCACTACCCCTATCACTACCCCAACCCCTATCACTACCCCAACCGCTATCACTACCCCAACCCCTATCACTACCCCAACCCCTATCACTACCCCAACCCCTATCACTACCCCAACCACTATCACTACCCCAACCCCTATCACTACCCCAACCCATATCACTACCCCAACCCCTATCACTACCCCAACCGCTATCACTACCCCAACCCCTATCACTACCCCAACCCATATCACTACCCCAACCCCTATCACTACCCCAAACGCTATCACTACCCCAACCGCTATCACTACCCCAACCCCTATCACTACCCCAACCGCTATCACTACCCCAACCCATATCACTACCCCAACCCCTATCACTACCCCTATCACTACCCCAACCCCTATCACTACCCCAACCCCTATCACCACCCATACCCCTCGTTAGCCTCTCCGCTGGTTCTCATAACAGCCCCACTCTCCTTCGTCTAAACCACAAACACCTTGGATTAAGGCGCCATATCAATCTAAATGAGACCATAAATGACGTCACGCGATTTTGGACGATTTTTGACCCCCCCCCCTCGTCACACGGCGTCACAAAAAGTCAGACCCCCCCCTCAAATATGACGTCACAAAGCTCTGCCCCCCCCCCCCCAGAACCATATTTCCATTTTGAAAATAAAACATGCTTCAAATGGCTTTAAACTATTGTCATTGTAGTGTGTATTTAATGTGGCGCTGCACTCTGATGTTGTAGGAGTGTTGTTATAACAATTAGTTGTTATAACAATTAGTGTTGTTATAACAATTAGTGTTGTTATAACAATTCTGTATTTAAAAAAGTTGCACATCTTGATGTGACGTCACATTTCTCAACCCCCCCCCCCCTCGTCACGCATCGTCCCAAATGTCTGACCCCCCCCCACCCCCGGTAC